GTGGGGCACGGTTGAGCCGGAGTGCTTACTGCTACTGCTACTGCTACTGCTACTGCTACTGCTACTGCTACTGCTACTGCTACTGCTACTGCTACTGCTACTGCTGCTGCTACTGCTACTGCTACTGCTACTACAACTGCAACTGCTACGAATTTATGCTACCCCTGCCGCCACGACGACGACTACTACCACTACCACTGCCACTAGTACAGCCGCTGCTAACACAACAGCAGCAGCAGCAGCAGCAGTGGCAACAGCACCACCAACACCACCACTGCAACTACTCCTACTTCTATCATCACGATTATGAACTTACTTTCGCTACCACTGTTGATGCAGTTGTTGTGTCGCTACCATTTTAGCATGTTCCTCTTTCCACGTCCTGCCTGCGGCTGAGCACACAGGTGGCGGATCAATGCTTGCGAGGCCTGCCAGGAAGTATGCACGCACAGGCCATATGCTATACTACGGTATGTGTCCAAACATGATTGTCTGTTGCTGTGGTCTTTCGTGATGACTAGAGCCTGCCTGAATTTCGCATGATCTTGAGAATGATTTCTTTGCCTTTCGCAGATATTCTTCCTGGAACCTCAAAATTCCAGCTCGCTAGGTTTGCCCTTGGCCATCCGAAGGCAGTCAGACAGCCTGGTCAACCGGAGAGCATCCAGAAGAATCACAAACAAAATCTGAGGTCCCCTGCCCCTGAGTTCAGCGATGTTCTCTACAAAGGTTTTAGCTTTCAGACGACCAAAACCTGCAACGGAAAAGGGTCCAACAGCTCCTGAACATAAGCTTGCAAGCTCGGTCAGCCCGGAGACGCGAAACCGTGCCGAAGCCTTCTTGCGATCACACCCTGGCCCTCGCTGACGCTTCTCTTGCGTTTCATCGAAGTCCTGGCCGCATCAAGCAGGGCTCATGATTCAAATTCTAAGGTTTAATGGGTTATAGGACTTGGGTGTCCAGCAACATTGACGTTCCTGCAGGATGATGGTGGTAATGAACCCTGGCACTTGCCGTTGCAATTCGGCGTGCACAAGGCATCCACTTCTTGCCGATGTGAAGTGGGCATACTGCTGGCTCGGATGGGGGTAGACGATTTACTCTTGCTCCAAGCGAACTGGAGATACATGACCAAAGAGTTGAAGCACACAAAGGCGATGTCACTAGTGTGACGTGCAAGCTCAATGCACACCCGACCCGTCTATGATACTGACTCCCTCGAACTATGCCGTGAAAGCATTGGCATAAGTGTGACAAAACATTCCGCTTCGACAGGCGCTTTGGTCCTGAGATGTGGCAACCACCACTATGTCCATAATGAGACCTGGATGCCTCTCTGCATCCAGCTTGCTTGAGCACTGAATGGCGACCATAACGCCGAGTGAACCAAAGCCGCTTACAGCAACTCTGACTTTGTGGTCTTGGGGGGTAGTCCTCAAAAGAAAGCCCAAAAGCGGAGAGTATCTCCTCGAAAGCCGAAGCAAGCACGATAAGCTCAGGACAGGATTGGACAGGACTAGTGACTAGGGCTACTAGGGCGGCTAGGGCCAGGGATCTCGAGTTTTAGGAGTTGTGGTGTGCATGCCCGAGGCTACAGCCGGTCTGAAGCCGAAGCTAAGACAACTCTGTTGCTGAGCTTCGTGCGCACTCCTGGTGTCCAACCTGATTGAGCACTTGCACTGGCGCAGCGTTCGGCGGCTAGAGTACTTCGGGTCTTGCTGTTTGAGTTTGGAGTCTAGGCTTGACAGTTCGATGAGCTTCGGCTTTGGATCGCTGCTTGCACTGTGGTCTTTCCGATCTGAGCTGCCCTGGTGCCCACAAACAGTAGCGCATCAAATCCGACCAAGGTGCAAATGGAGCATGGGTCGATTCAGCAGTTGTTCCGGTCCGGCACAAGGCTTTACAAAAAAGAAGCTGCACATAACATGCCACCATGGTGAGGTCTTATGACTCAGAGGACTTACATGTTTGCTGCGAGCTGTGAAACAGCTGAGATTCTGAATCTGTATGCTCGACCCCCGACCGACTAGGATCAGCAACAGCATCATCGTCATCATCATAACCATCATCAACTTCTTATTCACAAGCATCAGCATCATCATCAACATCATCATCGACGTTCGCATAAACCCCTTTCCAAGTGTTGGTTAAAGCTTTCGGGTTCTGTGGGGCCTTGCTGGGCTTGGTGGTGCTGACACGGAGTGCCTTCAGTTTCTCGATCTCGATGCTGTGCTCACGGAGCCTGGGCTGTCGCCGAATTTTTTTAATAGATTAGTTTCTGGAGGAAGGTCCGGCCATGTCATGGGTTGTACACCCGCAATATTATTCCCCTTACTGCGGCCAGACTCCACCGCCAGCTTTGCAGAACCGGGCCGCAGTCTGGTATTGGTTTACAACCAAAGCACTCGGTTTTGAGACTCCAGTACATATATGCTCACGTAACATATGTCTTCGTGCGCGCATATTTATGCATGCATCAACATATAAATACGTATGACATGCGAATAAACGGCTGTCATAAATCTTGCTTCATACATAAGAACCAAGTAAATAAACAAGTACTCTAGAAATGTGTGTGTATATACAATAAGTTGCAGTATAAGTATAAGTATGTATGTATACTTACCCGTTAGTTCGTTGTTCAAAGTTCAACAGAACTCTGGCTCTAAAGAAAGACTGGCATCCCGGCAGTGCATGAGGCCCTGGCTGGCTCCGGACATCTCCGAGTCCGGCCTCCACCTCCTGTAATCTCTGGGAGAGCAGCGCCCTCTCCCGGGCGCATGCGTCGTTCTCCCGCAGACACTCCTGCGTGTCGGCGCGCATGCGCTCCATCTCCTGCATCTGGCTTTGAAGCCGGGACTGGAAGTCCTCCGACTGGGCCTGCATCCGCTGCATGGAGGCTCGGGCATCTGCAAGCTCCCGCGAAACCACCTCCTGCTGCGTTGCCTGGTCTTGCCTTGCTCTTGAGAGCTCCTGCATCGCGGCCCCTAGGTTTTGAAGTTGGCTCCGCCATCCCTCGGACTCGGCCTCAAGTCGATGCACCGCCTGCCGCGCCCCGGCCAACTCCTCGGCCAAGGCTTCGGCCCGCTGGCCCTGGAGCTCCTGTTGTCTCAACATCATAAGGGTCATGTAGGGATATAGTCCATGTGCAGCATACAACGTCGAGAGGTTTGGGGGCTTGAGCGCTCCTCCCGTGAGCGCTGCGCAGAGAGGACCTCGTCGAGGCCACGTCTCAGGGAGTCGATCTCCATGGCCTCCGGGGACATCAAAAGCAAGTCTTGGAAAAAGCCGATGCCTCCTTGAAGCTTCTGTCCTATAGTAATGCTCTGAAACCATACCTTGGTCCTGCAAACGCACAAATTCAACAACAGTCGAGTCGTGCAACATGCAAACGGTTGAGACAAAAGCCATGGGATCCTGCATAAAGTCATGGGGCGATCCCACGTTCCAGCACCCAACGGGTTGCGATGGAATGGCGAATCATTAACCAAAACACAACTTGCCTAAGATGCTAACTGTCCTGGCCTGGCCCCTCATCGCCTCGGCAAACTCGCGATGCATAGCCTGCTCTGCGGCTTCGCGGGCGGCTTGAAGCTGGCTGTTCCTCAGCTGCGTGCTTTCTGTTTGAACAGCTGAAGAAAGCGAAAGCTGGCGAACGAGGCGAGGAGTAGAAGCAGTAGCAACAGTAATAGTATTGGGAGTAGTTGCACGCAATAGTCGTAGTGGCAGTGGTAGTGGTAGCGCCATTGGATGGTACTGGTACTGGCAGGGGCTGCCTCGCTGAAACAGCATCAGTAGTAGTAGCACCAGTAGCAGGACCGGTAGCAGTGGTTGTGGTCGTAGAAGCAGCAGCAGCATCGGGAGTAGAGGAAGTAGTAGTCGTAGTAGCAGTAGCAG